GCATCCCATGGGCAAGAAGGTCCCATCCATCTTGGGTCAACACTTGATCATAGCTGGGGTTCAGTGTGCCCATTAAAGCTCACGGCTCCTGTTTTCAGAGGGACCTGAGGGCAACTCGATCCCCTGGGAATCCCACCAAGAAACAGTGTGGGGCTGTCCTCCGCCTCCCCTTGTAGATGGAATTAATCAGCACAATTAATTTGGTATTCCTAGGTTGGGCTTTTATTTTTTTGTGAAGGCTTTGATAAAGACAAGGATTTTAAAATGGCTCAGCGGATGGCAAGCGTTTGTTGTTTCTGTAGACACAGTGCTTCCTTAGAGCTCGGTAGCATCTTGTAGCATCCTTCCTTGGCGATAACATCGACGTGTTGACTTGCCGCAGCTCCCTTCATCCCCGGCGCTGCGGAGCTGAGCCCGCGGAGCTGATCCAGTGCCGAAAGGAGACCTGTGTCCTTCAGGACTTGCCGAGGCAGGTGTCGAATGCCATCTTCAACTGTTTCAAAGTCCTTTCTTCCATTTCCCCCAAGCCTTTGGATGAGATTTGATACAAAGAACGGTTTCTAAAGAAAAGGGAAAGGTCTAGGACAGGAGTGGGTTGGGTGTTGGTTTTTTTCTTAGCAGCAAGTTTTTGCTTGCTTTCAGCAGGGCTTCTTCAGGCAATATTTACTTGTTCCGAAATGGCCTCCTCCTCCTCCTCCTCCTCTGCGAGTCACTGCCAGGCTCCTTGGGAATTGGGAGAAATAGGAAGGAGAGAAGCCGCGGCGAGGTCTGACAAATCTTGGCGGTGTGATTTCTCATCCTGTTGTTTCATTTTGGCAGCCACTGGACCACAAAAGAGGAGGGGGGAAATCAAGACGTAACAATTTCGGCGTGGGAAAGAGATTTGTCATATAATAAATAAGATTATTAGAGCTGTCAGCAGAACAGTCTTGGGATTATTTGTGCCTCCCTGCCTGCAGCGCTTGGGAAAATAACCCGTAGGAAGATAGAAACAACTCATTTCATAGGGAGGAATCGTTCGGTTGCTGCCCGCATCCATCGCCCGCACCGAGGGAGATGCTGTTAGCAAATACGCAGCACTTTCTGCCCATCATCTCTGCTCATTCCTTACCTTGGCTCTGCAGGAGGAGTGGGGTTTGGTCTTTTTTTTTTTTCATGGACTTTTAACAGCAAAATCCTCTTTTCATCGTTTGTGGGGGTTTAACGGTGTATGTGGTATGGCTGGGATGCATTCCGGATGCTGGAGTAACCTTCAAAATGATGAACTAGTGGAAAATAAACTGTTCTTAAGCCAGACCGCGTTTGTAAATAGGGCACCTCTTCTTGGTTCCTCCAATAAATAAATAAATAACCTTTTCTATTTATTCCAAGAGCTGTTCTTCCTACAGATCTCTGTATAATAGGCTTTGTCCCGGAGCTAAGAATAAAATAAAATGGTGTTACAACGCGTAGGGTCCAAATGTTACAGCTTCTGTGTCCACAAGGAAATTCCAGAGGCAACGGAGGTTTTCAGTTCCCATCCAAGACCCGCAAGTACGCGGTATTTGGGGCACAGTCGTCTATATTGGGGTGCCGCGGAACGAGGTGACGGTAACGTGTCACTGGTGGTGCTCTTTGTAAGGGCTGTCCATGGATTTCTTACCCCTACGGTAAGTCTGAGCGCTTTGCTTTTCCAACTCGCTACTGCTGTGGCTGCTCCAAGAATACTTCTTTTTCCCCCGATATATTTTGCTGTTGATTGCGAGGAAGGTATTTCAAAGGATCTGGGAGGTGGAGAGGCTCTTCTCGGTTACAGTTTTTCATTTGGGGAGAAGGAAGTGTCCCCAAGCATGGCTTGTGTAGACTGACGCCCTTTCATTGTGTAGCTACTGTTTGGAAGAATTACCTAAGCATAAAAAAGGAATGATTTTTTAAAAAAAAAAAAAAAATCAGTTTAAAATTTAATTTATTCCTTCTATATGTTAACGGCGAGAAGAACAAATAATGAAGGTAAAAATTCTTTTTGTCTACTCAGTGTTGAATCTAATGTAGAAAGCCCCAGTAGTCAAGAAATTGTGACTCCTTGGACTACTGTGGTCTTGAAATTAGTCGTTAAGGCGTATGTAAGATACATCAGTAGCAGTCTTAAGAGTAATGCTTAGTTTCCAGTCCTTAATTGTAATTCCTTAGGGCAGGTAGGGCAGGAGCTGGTGCAGCCGGCGCTGCCGGAGCCGCAGCATCTGTCTCCGCTCCTCGCATCGGCGTTTGAACTCCTAGGAGACTGTAGCATTGCTGTATTTATTCCTCCCCTTGGATGCTCTCTGTGCATTTTGTTTGTGTACATGGGGTTTTTTTGTAGTGTAAGATATGAAATTTTCTATTTTTTCATAAAAATAAAAACCTTTGACTAACCGTGACATCCAGTTGTGGATCACACGCACTCGTGCCCCTGCGGCTTTCCACGAAGCGTCAGGATTTTCCCCCTTTGGAAAGGAAATAAATTCTCTGTCTTTTTGCTCTCCTAAACACAGACTTGGTGCTAATCTTGTGGTCCCTGGGGGAGAGAGGGGCCTTTGGGACGAGGGAGATGTGTAGACCCCACATGAAGGCATCCTACCTTGTCACAGGCTGTTCCCTCTTTCCTCTCTTGTTTTTGGAGGAAAATCTGCTTTTTCGTCTGGTTTGTAGGACAAAGCACCCTCAGAAATACCGATTTTTTGTGATTTTTTTTTTTTTTTCCCCCAGAACTGATTTTCTCTGATTTTTTTTTTTTTTTTGGAAGGGAGGGAGAGGGGGGACCCCAGCAGACCCATGGCCGGCTGGAGCGCCCACCATCACACCCCCAACCCCATTCCTCTCCTACCCCATGGATTTGGGGTGTGGGCCAGCCTTAAAGAGAGGGGAGAGAAGTCACGGGTGGGAAGAGGCGAGGGGGAAAAGATCGGCCAGGGAAAGGTCCAACAGAGATCGTGGTGGGCAGCCAGCATCTTCTGGCTCCTGCGAGATGACGACTGCTGGAGGACAAAGGGGAGAGCTGCGGATGAGGATGCTGGTTCTCCCAGCATCACGGGAAGCCGTGGCAGATGATGGGTGGTACACTCGTACCCTGGCCAGGAAAGGCACGGTATGGTAGACTGGGACGGCAGAGGAACGGCGCTTTATCTGTTAAAGGGAGCACAAGGTCAATTGGGTTAGCAAACTGAGGTTGTCAGCAGCTTGGATAAAATCTCTCTGGATTGACATGCCAGGCCCCCCGCAGTATTTTCGTATTCAGCCCGGGGTTGTCTGCTGCTGGACCACGACAGGGACAGATGCTGGGAGGGATCGGAGAGACTCTGAGGATGGGGGAAAAAGTGATACTAATTCACCCCATGTAGGCAGCATCCTTGATAGCTTCGTGGGGGCAGAGAGCCTGCAAAGGGGAAAACACAAAAATGGGGAAACTTCTTTAAAGAAACTGGAAGCGAAATAACTTTGCAGGTGATGGGGAGGCATCGACAGCCGAGCCTGGGCTCCTGGGGCAAATGGGGAGGTTCACCACCCCTGGCAGCTTCAATGCAAAAAGAAAGAGAAAGAAAATGAGCAAAAATCCTGAGGAACAAGGGTGTTTTACAAGGTCTCCCTGCTTTCAGCTGCCTGTTCATCCCGTTTCACAGACA